TATCAAGGCAGGTTTGAAGTTTGGTGAAAGCACGGATTGGGTCACTGTCAACTGATAAAATAGCTGTGTCGTCTGCAAATGTACCGATAACACTCTCATCGGTAAGGGGAAGATCCGCAGTAAATAAAAGATAAAGCATTGGTCCCATTATGCTACCTTGAGGTACTCCTGCTTCTATATCATGAAGTACTGTAGTTTCGTTTCCATGCTTAATGAAAAAGTGCCTAGCCGAGAGGTATGATTTTATAAATATGAAAAAATTTAGAGGTAGATACAGTTTTAGTTTGAACAGGAGGCCCTCATGCCATACTCGATCAAACGCTTGTGAAATATCTATAAATGCCGCAGTGCAATATTTTTTACCATCTATCGCACTATGGATATGTCTGACAAGTCTGTGAATTTGTTCTATTGTGCTATGTTTTTGGCGAAAGCCGAATTGATGGTCAGGTATGAGTCTGTTTTGTTGGATAAACGGAGTAAGGCGCTTTAGAAACAGGATTTCCATAACTTTTGACAGGATCGGAAGTAGACTTATTGGCCGATATGATTTGACGTCTTCTGGGCTTTTCCCTGGTTTCGGTATCATGGAGATTTGCGCTATCTTCCACTGTGGCGGAATAAACCCCCTTATTATCACAGCGTTAAATAGATGAGTGAGAAATACAAATCCTTTTGGTGGGAGCTGCTGCAAGGCCATGCCTGTGATTAAATCGTATCCTGGAGCTTTTTTTACTTTTAACTTTGTTATTACATCTCTAACTTCATTAATAGTATATCTTTTAATTGGAAGTTCCAATTGATAAGGCTTTTGTAGAAAATTAATCCTTTGATTCATGACATCAGGCATATTTTGGTTATCATTTGATTTAAAGACCTGGTCCAAATGTAACGCAAATGTTTCTGCTTTTTCAATATCGCTTTTTGCCCATGAGTTGTCGATTTTGCGTATAGGTGGTTGATAGACAATCGGTCTGTTGTTCTTTTTTATGGCTTTCCAAAGGGAATATTTTGTATCACATGAAGCACTTAGGTTTTGAAGGTATAGCGACGTGCGGTTATTGTTATACTTTAAAAGAAGGGCTTTAACGAGTTTACACAGTTTGTTTAAGCGAGTTTTATCCGCAGGGAATCTCGACTGTTGCCAATGTTTTCTCATTCTACGCTTTTCTTTAATCAGGTATCTAATGTTAAATGGATAATCTTGCTTAACACTTTTAGAAATTGGTGGAGTTGATTCCCATGCAGACATTTGGACACAAGAGTTGAAATGCTCTACTGCTTCAGTTACGTCAGATTCAGTTTTTAACCTGACTTCGGTATTTAGACCAATTGAAATTAGTTGACGGTAACTATTCCAGTCAGTGTTTTTGTTATGAAGAATACATTTTTCCATAATTTCACAGCAGTCATTGAGAGTGATTATTATTGGCGAGTGGTCAGATGACAAGTCGAAATTGGACTTACAGGTAGTTGTTTCGATACGTACCCCCTTTGATACCGCAAAATCAATTAAGTCAGGTATTTTTCTTCTATCCGTTGGCCAATATGTGGGTTCACCTGTTGAGATTGTGTGGAGGTTGAGTACATTTATTGCTTCGAAGAGTTGACGTCCTTTTGGAGATATTAGGCGGAAACCCCATTTTAAGTGTTTAGCATTAAAATCTCCGCCTACTAGGAACCTAGATCCACGCAGCTGAAAAAATGATATGTACATATCTTTCGTGATACTGTGGCGCGGTGGGCTGTAGAGTGATGAGAAAGTCATATCGCCTTCTTTAGTTTGTACTACAATGTTTGTTGCCTGGATTTCATTCTTGCAATATGGTTTTGCTTCATAATGTTTTATCGAGTTCCTTATGAGGACCGCAGAGCCACCATTTCCTTTACCACTGGGATGCATTGTGTGATAAAGTTCGTAGTTCGGAATTTTAAAGAAACTACGCGTCGTGAAATGGATTTCTGATACTAGCATTATGTCGACCTGGTTTAATTTTAAAAATGCTTTTATTTCGATAGCATGTTTTGATAGACCATTAGCGTTCCATATGACTACTACTAAATCAAGAATTTTGTTTAGTCGTCAAGTTGATCAGTAAATTTGTCATTACTACGATTTGTTGCATCATTTGCTTCAACAGTGATGTCATCTCACGGAATTCTTCCACAAAATTATTTGGAATTGGTGAAAGCTTCTCCTCTGATTCGCTACTGGTGTTTGACTTCACTATTTGTGCGAATGTTTCAGGTGAATGAGAAGTCGTGGAATATGAAATCATTAGATTCAACATGATTCCAGAAAGAATTAATGATAATATATATCAAGAAATCGAATTGTTAACATCCACATTTGGCATCAATTATAGCAGTAAAAAATATTTTGACGTTACTATCAGTCAAATGGAGACTGCAACCAAGCTGAATAATGGTACTAGGTTACTTCATCCAACAATATTTTACAACATTGACGAGAGTTCCAATTGTGTAATTAAGCTTTCCAGTTTGGAAAGAGCTTTGGACGCCCAATGCTTGGATATTCATTACACCAAATTTAACGACAATTCATGTAATTTGTCATATTGAACGTGAAGAAGTAGTTCTGAATTATACGGGTGTTAAATCTCCTTAAAGTAAAATCTTGGTTGTCATATCTACATAAAAGACTTCATCTACTTAACGTTGTCAAACACTATTAATCAGCTGTTTGGCAACAAAAGGAGAATGAAGTAAGCTTTAAGCTTGATTAGGGACATGAGAGCAGCTTCTGTGTTGGGTTTAAGCTAAAAGACTTCCTTTTTGGTTTTGAATCGTGAATCGGGTAACAACACATGTCTAAAATTAACAACACATGTCTAAAATTAATAAAAATAAATAAAGATTAAAATACATACAAAATAATTGGAGTATTCATTTTCAAACAGAACAATAAGGCAACCTACGAGTTTATGTGCTCGGCAGTTTGCGATCAGTTAAACAAAATACTAAAATATATCATCCAACACGTTCATGTGCGTGTTGGAAGCTTGATATAACTATTTGCGGCTCAAATAAGAACAAACAAGTTCTTATCATACTTGGTTGATACAACAATTTGTAATTTAATAAGAACAAACGCGTTCTTATCATTTTAGTGACCCCGACGTGATTGCAGCATTAACAGGATCATCACTTGGTGCGTAATCTACGGCAGCTAAGAATTTGGTGCATGTACACATAACGTGATTGCATTAAGACACGTGATCAATTGTATTCAGTCAAAATTCATCTGGTACCAACTGTTAATTTCATACAGGTATTAATTTTTCACGTGAAAAAATGGCAACCATTGAAGGAGATAAGAAACAAGAAGGAAACAAGCCGGTGTCGACCGAAGACAAAACCGTGACAAAACCGTTACGGAATCAAAGGGCACTGATTCGCGCCATTGAAAAAACCATGAAGGAAATAGAATCAACATTTGAAGAACCACAACAAGAAGTGGTTTACAGGACAAGTCAGGCACAGCTGGAAAATTATCTCAGCAAGTTATAACAAAACAATGATATAATATGGAACTCCACCACTGCAGACACGGTAAAGGACTACAGTTGGGATGTGTTTTTTGAAATAGAAAGAAAACTACACAATAAATTGATGTTAATAAAATCAAAGCTAAAATTGTTAAATTCTAGTGATGGTATCTCAGAAAATACAGTAACATTGCAATCAGTAAAATTGCCACAAATTACGCTTCCAAGTTTTGACGGAAACCCATTAATGTGGGTACAATTTCGCGATTTGTTTTTACAGCTCATTGACGAGCAACCATTTAAACCAATGCAAAAAATGTTTTATTTAACCACCAATTTAATCGGTGAACCGAAAAATCTAATCAAACATTTGCCAGCTTCAACAGAAAATTCGAACAAACGTTTAGCAATCTTAAGTACAAGTCTGTTGCAGATCAAAGAGACAATAGACTTAACGAAAAGTATTGAAACGTTACAGTTCAAATTGGAAAAATTGAAGAATTGTTGGGCAAAGATCTCACAATTAAACGATGAACAATCTTATCAATAAGTTATTGTCGCTCAGAGTTATAAGAACTGAGAATGTACAGGATTTAAAACCATTAGTGGATTCTTCTAGAGAAATGTTATATGGTATACGTAATTTAAATGTGGACACGTCAAGTTGGGATCCACTAATTATACAGATACTGCTTCCAAAATTAGATCGTGAAACCAGAAAATTATATTAACATTCAAGAGGGGCATCCACACAAATACCAAAATTGAGCAGCTTATACGAGTTTATCGAGAGCAGAATTAGAGGATTGGAGGCAATTCAAGACACAAATCGCGAAAATAAGAATAATTTTCGACCAACAGCAGTAAATACAAAAACGCATGTAAATACAATACATACGCTATGTTTAGTGTGTAATGGTGACCACCAATCAATTCGATGTTCAAAGTCTCTGAATATGAAGGTGCCGGAACGTCGTGAAAAGATTATGAGCGCCAAATTATGTTTTAATTGCCTTCAGAGTGGGCATTTTAGTAAGTTGTGCTTGAATAAAAAAAGATGTGCAATTTGCGACAAAAAACACCATCAACTTATTCATGAACAAGTTAAGGGCAAACCAACAGTCACAAATAACATAAGTAAACAGAGGATGCCAACATTGAAGAACACCACAGAGACCGAAGTGGCAGCGTCGTACAACATCCAAAAGGAAAAAACTGTTTTACTAGCAACAGCAATGGTAATTATAAGGACTAAAAACAAGTTAATCCGATACGAGCGCTTCTTGATCAAGGATCACAATCTTGTATAATAACAAAACAATTAGCAAGATCAATCAGAGCACCACTGACCAATTATCAAACTCATGTAAAAGGTATCAATGGACAAACAACAAGCGTTATAGCCAAATGTTCATTAGAAATTAATCTATACATGATGAAAATAAGAGCTGTCATATCGAAGCAATAGTGTTACCAAAAATCACATCAAAAATGCCAAAAGCAGAATTCACGCCAGGAAAATGGTCGCATATTGATGGATTGCAGTTAGCAGATCCTTGGTATGCTGAACCAAAGAAAATACAATTGTTAATCGGGTCGGACGTATTACCAGAAGTGTTTAAAGAAGGATTAATTAAAGGGCCAGACAACTCTCCAATGGTTCAAAACACATTATTTGGATGGATATTATCAGGACCTTTAGATGTAGAGCGTACAATCACAAACAAAATAATGTTATGCTCCATGGCTTGCGAAAGCAGTGACCAGTATTTAAAACGGTTTTGGGAATTAGAGGAAATTCCAAATGCAGACTTAAGAACAGTAGAAGAAAGGCATTGTGAGCGACATTATGATTCAACTTGCACCCGCGATAAAACAGGACGATACATCGTTAGGTTACCACTGAAAAATGATCGAGAAACGTTAGGTGAATCCAGAAAGAGTAGCAAGAGTAAGAGTATGTGAGCTTTATGCGAGAGTATATCAAGCTGGGTCACATGAAGGAAGTTAATGAGAAACCAAAGACAAAGGTATATTATTTGCCGCATCATGCAGTTATTAAAGAAGACAGCACGACAACAAAACTTCGAGTGGTGTTTGATGCGTCCGCAAAAACGACATCAGGACAATCACTGAACAGTATTATGATGACAGGTCCTACATTACAAAAGGATTTATTCATTCTATTATTGCAGTTGAGAATGTTTAAAATAGTTTTTACGGCTGACATTGAAAAAATGTATCGGCAAATACTGATTCATCATGATGATAGAGATCTTCAACGAATTTTATGGAGAAACGATCAGAAAAAACCAATAAAAGAATACAAATTGAACACGATTACATATGGTACTGCATCAGCACCATATCTTGCCATCAAGACGTTGTTTAAGCTAGCAGAAGACGAGAGAATTAATTATCCTTTGGCAAGTGAAACCTTAAATGAAAAATTTTATGTAGACGATTGTTTGGGAGGCGCTAATACGATTAAAGAGTGTAAACAAGTACAAGAAGAATTAATCCAATTATTGCGGAAGGGAGGTTTTAATTTAAGAAAATGGGCATCAAACGAACCGGAAATGTTGACGAATATCCAGATAAAAGACATTGAACCAGGGTTAGAGATGCAATTTAACAACGACCAAGCGATTAAAATTTTAGGAATAAAATGGTGTCCTAAATTGGATCAATTTGAATTTAAAATAAATACCACGTCATTCAGCTCAAAATACACAAAAAGAGCAATTCTAAGTGATGCTGGAAAACTATTCGATCCATTTGGTTGGTTGTCACCTGTAACCATTAAAGCAAAAATTATGATACAAAAATTGTGGATGCTAGGAATTAGTTGGGATACAGAGATCCCACCCAATCTACAGGCACAATGGGAAGAATTTAAATTGAGATTACCTGCAGTTCAGAAGATAACCATGAAAAGATGGACACAACATTCAGAGAATAGTTTAATCGAGTTACATGGATTTGCAGATGCATCAGAAGCAGGATAGACTGCAGTTGTATATACAAAGGTTATCAATGCAGAAAAGGTTACAATATCCCTAGTAGCATCAAAAACCAAAGTTGCGCCTATTAAGCAGGTATCATTAGCCCGATTGGAGTTATGCGCAGCTGTGCTATTGATAAAGTTGATTAATTACATTCAGAAGAATAACAAGATTACCTTTAGTAAAATTATTGCATGGTCAGATTCAAAAATTGTATTAAATTGGCTAAGGTAATACCCAAATAGATGGACTACGTTTGTAGCAAACAGAGTATCGTATATTCAGGATACGTTTAAGGGGCAATTTAGATTTGTTCCAGGAAAAGATAATCCAGCAGATATTTCATCAAGGGGAGTATATGGTGACAATCTTATTTCAAATATATTATGGTGGCATGGTCCAAACTGGCTAATAAAAGATGAAGGAAATTGGCCAGAAAATGATGAAGTAATAGATTTGAATCTTATTCCGGAAACCAGAAAAACTGCAGTATGTACCGTCGCACAGTGTGACAAAACACAAAATTAGGCGGTCATAATTCGATATTTTCGGAACCAGTAGAGATATTGATATGAAATTTTCCTAAAATATAGTTTTTGAGTTGATCTTTCTTTTAAATCTAATTTGAGCCCAATCGGCCTACCGGAACTACCCGAAATTTTTGCCCAAACATGGGGATTTTACCGTGGTCCCAAGATTACTTAAAAACTATGATAGGTAGAAAGCTGAATTTTGGTGTCCGGAAAACTTACGTTATTATCTAGATTTCAACATTTTTTTAAGGTTTTCCGCCCACTGCCACACCCACCCCCCATACAAAATTTTCATATTAAATCATTTATTATCGTTAAAAATACTTTTTGCACTTATTGGACTACATATATACGTGACTTACATAGCAACACAACTCTATGCAAAAAATGGGCGTGATCCGCCCATTAGTTCCTAAGTTATTTGCAGTTTATGCAACTTTAGCGAAATTATGATTTCGTAAAAATTTAACCAACTTTAAACCCTTATAGCTTTTTTACTATTTATTCAAAAATGATCATTTTTAATTTTTTTTAAAGCTTACGATATTGTTATTCATTATGTGTAAAAATTTATTTCAACAACAAATTCAATGAGTAATAACAAAAAGACATTTATAATTTTATAAATATTTAATTTATTTATATTTCAAATTTCAACTAAATCGGTTGAAGAATACCGAAGTTATAACACATTATGTTCAGACGCCTGACCGGAAGTGTTCATATTTCAAATACGCATTACTTGCTTGTGTAAAATTGAATAACTGTACATTCAAGGTTAAATGCTGTGATCATACTTCCGGTCAGGCGTCTGAACATAATGTGTTATAACTTCGTTATTCTTCAACCGATTTAGTTGAAATTTGAAATATAAATAAATAAAATATTTATAAAATTATAAATGTCTTTTTGTTATTACTCATTGAATTTGTTGTTGAAATAAATGGGGTTTATTGAAGGTAATATTTTTCGTAATTTTTCGCTGGATTCTGAGGCCTGAAATAGGTGTAAAACATAGAGTGCGCAGGCCAATTTTTGTTTTATTGTAAAGTGTAACTATTTGGCTATTAATAGGAAAAATTTCATGAAAAAACTCGGATACATTTTTTGGGTATCGCCGATAGAAGTGAAAATGGCCATGAAAAAAATGCTGACTTTTTGTGCAATTTCGCTAATAAAATTTTATTGATAATTAAAATTGAAATTTTTTTTACACATAATGAATAACAATATCGTAAGCTTTAAAAAAAATTAAAAATGATCATTTTTGAATAAATAGTAAAAAAGCTATAAGGGTTTAAAGTTGGTTAAATTTTTACGAAATCATAATTTCGCTAAAGTTGCATAAACTGTAAATAACTTAGGAACTAATGGGCGGATCACGCCCATTTTTTGCATAGAGTTGTGTTGCTATGTATGTCACGTATATATGTAGTCCAATAAGTGTAAAAACTATTTTTAACGATAATAAATGATTTAATATGAAAATTTTGTATGGGGGGTGGGTGTCGCAGTGGGCGGAAAACCTTAAAAAAATGTTGAAATCTAGACAATAACGTAAGTTTTCCGGACACCAAAATTCAGCTTTCTACCTATCATAGTTTTTAAGTAATCTTGGGACCACGGTAAAATCCCCATGTTTGGGCAAAAATTTCGGGTAGTTGCGGTAGGCCGATTGGGCTCAAATTAGATTTAAAAGAAAGATCAACTCAAAAACTATATTTTAGGAAAATTTCATATCAATATCTCTACTGGTTCCGAAAATATCGAATTATGACCGCCTAATTTTGTGTTTTGTCACACTGTGCGTCGTGGACGTTACCAAAGATGAAAATATTATTAATCGATTTTCTTCATTAAAGAATCTTCTTCGAGTGACAGCTTATTGTCTTAGATTCGTTTATAATTGTCATAAAAAGAAATCCGAAAGAAAGATCGACAATCTGTCGGCAGACGATATCGATGCAGCAGAAATTGTGTTGGTGAAGCAGGCACAAAAATGTTTTTCAGATGACATCAGACGGCTTAATCTTCAGAAACAATTAATGAAAAGTAATAAGTTGTGTTCATTAAACCGATTTGTTGACAGTGCAGGAGTACGAAGAGTGGGCAGCAGATTAAGAAATGCAGATTTATCTGACAACCAAAAGTATCCAATAATTTTACATACAACGAGTACTTTGGCCAAACTCATAATCAATCAGGCGCATATTAATACGATTCATGGAGGATTAAAACTGACGCTTAACTACGTTCGGGAAAAATTTTGGATTATTCGTGGAACAATCGCTGTGAAAGCTTGCATCAATAAATGTTTAAAATGTTTTCGAATAAAGGCAAAAGGACAATCTCAATTAATGGGAAGTTTACCAACACCAAGAGTAAATTTCTCGAGGCCATTCACACACTGCGGCATAGACTATGCAGGGCCATTACACATTAAATGCTCGCAATTCAGGGGAATTAAAACACATAAGGCGTATATAGCTATTTTTGTATGTCGGACAACAAAGGCAATTCACATTGAGTTAACTTCAGATCTGACATCTCAAGGATTTTTAGCAGCACTCAAACGAATGGTAAGCAGACGTGGCTGAGTACATCATATTTATAGCGACAATGGTACCAATTTTACAGGTGCAAACAACACTTTATAGAAGATTCAAATAGAGAATCATCTAGCTGAAACAGGTATACGTTGGCATTTCATCCCTCCTGGCTCACCTCACTTTGGTGGTCTCTGGGAATCGGGAGTAAAATCCATTAAATATCATCTAGCTAGAATTATAGGTGACCAAAAATTGACATACGAGGAATTAAGTACGGTCTTAATTCAAATCGAATGTTGTCTTAATTCACGGCCACTCTGTCCATTAACAGACAACATTGAAGATCCTAATGCACTTACACCAGGACATTTCATTGTGGGATCGTCATTAATGACTCCAGCTCATGATAGTCTTATTAACTTTACAGAAACTAGCCTAAAAAGATGGAAGATTGTGCAGAAAATAAAGCAAGACTTTTGTAAACGGTTGTTCCAAGACTATATAAGAAATATTCAACAACAGAGATACAAATGGACAAAATCCATACCAAATTTAGAAGTTGGTCAACTAGCATATTGAAAGACGAAACATAAATATCACCGACGTGGCCTCTAGGCAGAGTTATAGAAGTTCATACAGGAACAGATGGCTTAACCCGAGTTGCTACAATTAAAACCCAAAAGGGGATAGTAAAACGTACAATCCAAAAAATATGTCTTCTACCAATCACTGATAATGTAAAAGAAGGTCATATTCCGTCAAACTAGGAGAAGTTCCCAAAATTATTTAAAGAAGCAACATTAATCAAAGCAGAATCAGACACTCAAAATATGTTACCATTTGGAAACACTATCAGAAATAAAGAAGTAGTTTCGACAAAGTCCACTGCAGGAGATCCTAAAACGCGACGACAATGGTTATCGGCTAGGCAATCAAAATCGACAGTTCTTGCTATATTTTTGGCATATCTCACATTAGGAACTACATTAGCAACACCCACTATAACATATCCCGAATCAGGATTATTCATTGAAGGATTAGGCAAAGCAAAAATACAAAGAGGAACACTTAGAACCACTATCACATTTAAAATCCGTGACATAATTCAAGATCAAAGGAACGTTAATAACACCATAAAACAATTAACAATGTTGTGTACCAAGTCAAAGGCTGTCAATCCTTATATACAATGTGACGATTTAGTTTCCAATTTAAGTCATGAGAAGAAGTCCCCGAGGAATATTAGGTACAGTGTTAACAACACTTTTTGGTGTAAACGATGAAGTGTATCACGACATTGAAACGTTGGATCAAAATCAGAAATTATTGATCCAAAATACTAAATCAAATGCTAGAATCATGATATCCACAATAGCGGCAGTAAACAACACGGAAACTAAAATCATCAACAAAATCAACAGCTTTAGTAAAAGACTAAAAGAAGGATTGCAGGCTATCAGTCAGATGCAAGGTTGGCATGATATCGGAGAAGGAAATAAACTGAATATATATGTACTTAATTCATATATAATGGCATCCAATTACATTCGAGAAATAGAAGCAAAATATAATAATATCTTCAATGTATATTTAAAACGCTGTCATATTTATGAATTCCTTTCGCATGATGAAATCAATGATATTATAACTCGATGTTCCTCAAAAATTGGACCAGAAATGTATGTCTTACCAATTCCGATGAACAGATTGGAATGTGTTCGAGATACTGACAACGTTATAATTTATGGTTATTTCACAATCAGCGATATAGAAGAATATGAAATCATTAGATTCAACATGATTCCAGAAAGAATTAATGATAATATATATCAAGAAATCGAATTATTAACATCCACATTTGGCATCAATTATAGCAGTAAAAAATATTTTGACGTTACTATCAGTCAAATGGAGACTGCAACCAAGCTGAATAATGGTACTAGGTTACTTCATCCAACAATATTTTACAACATTGACGAGAGTTCCAATTGTGTAATTAAGCTTTCCAGTTTGGAAAGAGCTTTGGACGCCCAATGCTTGGATATTCATTACACCAAATTTAACGACAATTCATGTAATTTGTCATATTGAACGTGAAGAAGTAGTTCTGAATTATACGGGTGTTAAATCTCCTTAAAGTAAAATCTTGGTTGTCATATCTACATAAAAGACTTCATCTACTTAACGTTGTCAAACACTATTAATCAGCTGTTTGGCAACAAAAGGAGAATGAAGTAAGCTTTAAGCTTGATTAGGGACATGAGAGCAGCTTCTGTGTTGGGTTTAAGCTAAAAGACTTCCTTTTTGGTTTTGAATCGTGAATCGGGTAACAACACATGTCTAAAATTAACAACACATGTCTAAAATTAACAACACATGTCTAAAATTAATAAAAATAAATAAAGATTAAAATACATACAAAATAATTGGAGTATTCATTTTCAAACAGAACAATAAGGCAACCTTCGAGTTTATGTGCTCGGCAGTTTGCGACCAGTTAAACAAAATACTAAAATATATCATCCAACACGTTCATGTGCGCGTTGGAAGCTTGATATAACTATTTGCGGCTCAAATAAGAACAAACAAGTTCTTATCATACTTGGTTGATACAACAATTTGTAATTTAATAAGAACAAACGCGTTCTTATCATTTTGGTGACTCCGACGTGATTGCAGCATTAACAGGATCATCACTTGGTGCGTAATCTACGGCAGCTAAGAATTTGGTGCATGTACACATAACGCGATTGCATTAAGACACGTGATCAATTGTATTCAGTCAAAATTCATCTGGTACCAACTGTTAATTTCATACAGGTATTAATTTTTCACGTGAAAAAATGGCAACCATTGAAGGAGATAAGAAACAAAAAGGAAACAAGCCGGTGTCGACCGAAGACAAAACCGTGACAAAACCGTTACGGAATCAAAGGGCGCTGATTCGCGCAATTGAAAAAACCATGAAGGAAATAGAATCAACATTTGAAGAACCACAACAAGAAGTGGTTTACAGGACAAGTCAGGCACAGCTGGAAAATTATCTCAGCAAGTTATAACAAAACAATGATATAATATGGAACTCCACCACTGCAGACACGGTAAAGGACTACAGTTGGGATGTGTTTTTTGAAATAGAAAGAAAACTACACAATAAATTGATGTTAATAAAATCAAAGCTAAAATTGTTAAATTCTAGTGATGGTATCTCAGAAAATACAATAACATTGCAATCAGTAAAATTGCCACAAATTACGCTTCCAAGTTTTGACAGAAACCCATTAATGTGGGTACAATTTCGCGATTTGTTTTTACAGCTCATTGACGAGCAACCATTTAAACCAATGCAAAAAATGTTTTATTTAACCACCAATTTAATCGGTGAACCGAAAAATCTAATCAAACATTTGCCAGCTTCAACAGAAAATTATGCCACAGCATGGCAAATTTTAAGATCTCGATACGACAATAAACGTCTACTCATCACAGCGTTACTCAACAAGTTGTTAAGCCAGTCGTCTTTAACTGCGGAAACTTCATCAGGTTTAAAATCGCTGCATGATGTCACTAAGGAGTGCATTTTGGGCTTAAAGGCACAGGGTATTCTAATAGAACATTGGGATGCAATATTGGTGCACCTCACTTTAAAGAAATTAGATAGAGGAACTCAAACAGCATTTGAACAATCTCTAAAGGATAATCGTTCACTCGTGTCGTTTGAAGAACTTCTACAGTTTATTGAAAGCCGATTTCTGTCACTGGAGGCTTTCGGCAGAGGATTCAACGTAAAGGTCTTAAACACATCGAGAGTAGTTGCTGTAACAAACGAAGGATCAAATTACGAAAAACTATGTCCGGCATGCAAGAATGACCGTCACCCATTGTACACGTGCAAGTCATTCATACAAGAACTTCCCACTAAAAGACTTCAGTTAGTTAAACAAATGCGGTTGTGCATTAATTGTTTAAAGTTTGGCAATAAAAAACACAATTTTCTTTTACATCTGGAAGATGCAACATGCACTAACCCAAATAAAATAACAAATTCGAGTAAGTCAATAAGCCTGATCTCCAATTATAACAATTACTACAAGGGTTATGTTGTATTGGGAACAGCACGCGTAATAATACGAAGCAATAAAGGCATCAAGGTTGAATGTAGAGCATTATTAGACTCCGGTTCACAAGTAAATCTTGTAACGGAAAGACTCATCAAAAAACTAGGAGAAAATCCAATGAATGTATCCGCATGCATCGAAGGTATTGGACAAAGGAAACAAAATGCTCAAAGGCGAGTAAATTTGGGTTTTAGTTCCAAAATCAATGAATATGCCGCAAGAGTGGAAGCGTACGTGTTACCAAGTATCGTGTCTGATCAACCGAGCATGCAGCTCGACATTTCAAATTGGGACATACCGAGTAATATTAAGTTGGCTGATCCTTGCTTTCACCAAAAGGGTAATATTGATCTCTTACTGGGGGCAGAATTTTCACATGAACTGCTGTCGATCGGACAGATTAAAATTGGCAATAATCTTCCAATATTGCAAAATACGTTACTGGGCTGGATTGTGATAGGAAAAATAACTGACAACAATTTAGGTGTGCAGATGCAAACATGCGGCATTTGCTCGGACGATGAAGAACAAATAGAAAAGGTGATGGAGAAATTTTGGCAACTCGATCAAGCATCACCTACAAACAAAAACGTAACTCAGCAAGAAGAGTTGTGCGAATCGCATTTCATAAACAATGTACAAAAAACCAACCATGGTCGATTTATTGTGAGATTACCGTTTCAACAAAATCCATCAATTCTCGGAGAGTCTCAAAACACAGCGATAAACCGATTTTATGCCCTAGAAAGAAGATTAAGCAAAGATGAAGCAGTCTGGAAGCAGTATGTAGAATTTATGGATGAGTACGAAAAGTTGGCCCACATGAGCAAAATTCATATCGAAGAAATCACATCACATTATTTGATCCCACATCATTGTGTAATTCGACCTACCAGTAGTTCAACAAAATTGAGAGTAGTGTTTGATGCATCGTGCAAGACCAACAACGGGTTATCATTAAATGACATATTGTTAACAGGCCCAAAAATTCAGAGTGAATTGTTTTCCATTTTACTTCGTTTCAGATGCCCCAGATTTGCATTTTGCACAGACATTGAAAAGATGTATAGACAAATCCTTATACATCCAAATGATAGAAAATACCAAATCATTGCGTGGAGAAGATCGCCTAACGACCCATTGCAGTTTTACCAATTAAATACAGTAACTTATGGCACAAGGTCAGCGCCATATCTGGCTACGAAGTGTTTGCAGCAACTAGCAAAAGACAAATCAACTAAATACCCGCTTGGAGCCTTGGCAATTATAAATGATTTTTATGTGGACGATTGTCTTAGTGGATCAGATAGTCTTGACACAGCTTTAGAAATACAACGTCAACTTCACGATTTATTGGAATCAGCTGGTTTCAAATTGCGAAAATGGTGTGCTAATAATCCTTTGCTGCTTCAAGACGTAGCAAAAGAGGACCAAGAGGTCGATTTAGATTTCAGCAATGAAGACCAAGCATCAGTCAAAACATTAGGATTATCGTGGCAACCAAAGCGTGACAAATTCAGCATAAGGATTGATTTAACCCCATCTAAGCGAATAACAAAAAGATCGATAACTTCTAGTTTAGCAAAAATATTCGATCCCCTGGGTATTTTGGGTCCAGTGTTAGTAACAGCAAAAATACTAATTCAAGATCTGTGGCAACTCAACTTATCATGGGACGAAGCTGTGCCGAGTGAAGTACACACCAGATGGATAAATTTCTGTGACGAGTTAAGGTCATTGCACCATTTTCAGATAGATAGGCATATTTTTGGACAGCAGATTGCTTCATCGGTGCAACTCCATGCATTTTGTGACGCTTCCGAAAAGGCTTATGGAGCAGTTATATACATTCGAGCAACACTGAAAGATGGACGCTTGATCAATCGACTGCTGTGCTCTAAGTCTCGGGTCGCCCCAATCAAAAAGCAAACCATTCCACGCTTAGAATTGTGCGCTGCTCTTCTAGGAGCCACATTAATGAATAGGG